TTTTCTTCTTCTTCTTCTTCTTCTTCTTCTACTTCTTTTCTTTCTTTCTTTCTTTCTTTCTTTCTTTCTTTCTTTCTTTCTTTCTTTTTTTCTTCTTTCTTTCTTTCTTTCTTTCTTTCTTTCTTTCTTATGCGTATCAGTCACGATTTCTTTCTTTCTGTCTTCTTTCTTTCTTTCTTTTTTTCTTTTTTTCTTTCTTTCTTTGTTTCTTTCTTTCTTTCTTATTTTTATTCCTTTCAGTCACGATTTCGTGACTGTGTGTCCAAAGCGAAGACAAATCAATTGCTGGATGTATACAACGCGGCTTGAGGCTTGGGTGGGGATATGTTGTATCTGTTCTTGCTTTTCTTCTTCTTTTTGTTCTTGTTGTTCTTCTTGTTCTTCTTTTTCTCTCTCTACTTCTTCGTCTTCTTCTTCTTTTTCTTCTTCTTCCTTTTCTTTCCAGGTCGCAGGCGCCCTGCCACGAATTCGTGACTATACAATTCAACTTTGGGGATGGGTGGGGATGTCTTGTATTCGAGGGGGGTGTCTCTGCGTATATGCGCAAATGTAAACATGTACGAAGTGTCTGCTTGAATGCAAGTATTTTCGTGTTGCCAAGTTGGCATATTCAACCCCTGCCATACCCATCGACTAACTCGGTAGACTACTGCGTGCCATAACAGGGTCAAAAGTTACTGAATAAAACCATTCTGCCCCGCAGTAGTCAACCTCTCTAGTTCCAACTCACTCTCTCTCTCTCTCTCTGTTGAAAATCGGAGACAAACGAAAGGCAAGAGAAGAGATAGAGTGCGAACGATCTCCAGATCTATATGCACCGTGCGGGGGCGAAGATGAAACACAGGCTTTAATCGATGAGAGTTGGGCTGAGATAGTTGAAAAGCAGCAAGAAGTTATAGATAAACTGACAGCTAAAGTAATCGAGCAGAAACAGTTGGTCACCCAGGCGCGAGACGAGATAGGCCGTGTGGAACTTTCACTCGCGGAAATGACAGAGACTGCAAAACATAGATTATATAGCATATTCTGGTTATTGTTGCCCGATCCGAAGTCTCTTGTGACGGATCTGCGGGAGGGGATAACCAAAGAACTCCAAAAAATCGCCAAGGAGAAGAAGGGCACGTTTAAGGAGTACTAGATTATGCTTGCTAATCTTAAATGCTATCGGAAAAACCTTCTTCTTTACGCGGACACTGCATTCGGTGCCAAAACACAAAACGGTTGTGAATGAGATGTCACATGTTGTTCCTCTGCGGACAAATGTGTTGTCAGGGAAGGGTGGGCGTCTTACGATAGTGAGGAACTGAACAGCGGTCCGCTGACAGCCTCGTCGAAAAGTCTTGTAGACCTCTTGTCTTTTGTCGAGGACTGCATCCGTTATTGCACGAAGACCATAGAGCACTACACTCTTAACCATCGCCTGCAGACCGATGGTGCACATACGAGATGCGATGGCCTTAATGGGAACTTGAGGTCTCTGCTCAACAGATGCGCCGATATTGTATGTTCTCTTCAGTACAGCAAAGGTCTCCTGGCATCGGGACAATTGTCTGTAACGTCGAACCCCATAGAAACCATGAAAACATACAATGCACAAGTCGCGAATGCAAGTCGGGAAGATGATCTGACAATGTGGATGTGCGATAGCAACATAGGTCGAAGAGTCTGTGAGCCAGCGACACACTTGTTGCTGGACTGCAAAGATATCAATTCCTTTCAATCTCATGAAATTCGACACAATTTCTCTTGCATCTTTGTCAGCAAAGCACCGTTGACAAGCAATGAAGAGTCAACGGTACAAATGACCACGAAAATATTTGAACAGTTCGTGTCAAGTGTAAATAAACGGCAAATGGCAAGGCTCGTGGCGGACTGTATATCCCATCTCATTTCTTTTGCAAAAGAGATGATGTCCAAGGTCGTAGCAAACGCAGAGCGTCGTGCGGAGGCCATCGATTGTCAGCATTGCAAGAAAGGAGTCAACATCAACGAGCGGCTAAGGGCGCTCTATAAGACGTGTAAAATCGTGGCTGAACGTCTCGTTAAAGAAGTTTGATGTACCTCTCTCTCTCTCTCTCTCTCTCTCTCTCTCTCTCTCTCTCTCTCTCTCTCTCTCTCTCTCACTCATTCTGTCTTATGCATATATTTATACATGTATGAAGTGTCTGCTTTAATGTCATTACGTTCTTGTCGCCAGGTTCGCCTTTTCGACCGCTTTCTCATCCTACGAATGAAGAGGTTGACTACTGCGTGCCATATTACGGTCAAACGTTAATCAATAACGTCGTTCTGGTCCACGGTAGCCAACCTCTCTCTCTCTCTCTCTCTCTCTCTCTCTCTCTCTCTCTCTCTCTCTCTTATTCTGTTATATGCATATATGAATACATGTATGAAGTGTCTGCTTTAATGTCATTATGTTCTTGTCGCCAGGTTTGCCTTTTCGACCGCTTTCTCAACCTACGAATGAAGAGGTTGACTACTGCGTGCGATATTACGGTCAAATGTTAATCAATAACGTCGTTCTGGCCCGCGGTAGCCAACCTCTTTCTCTCTCTCTCTCTCTCTCTCTCTCTCTCTCTCTCTCTCTCTCTCTCTCTCTCTCTCTCTCTCTCTCTCTCTCTTGTCATATGCATACATGTATACATGTATGAAGTGTCTGCTTTAATGCCATTGTGTTCTTGGTGCCAAGTTCGCCTTTTCGACCGCTTTCTCACCCTACGAATGAAGAGGTTGACTACTGCGTGCCATAATACGGTCAAACGTTAATCAATAACGTCGTTCTCGGCCGCAGTAGCCAACCTCTCTCTCTCTCTCTCTCTCTCTCTCTCTCTCTCTCTCTCTCATTCTCTCATATGCATATATGTGTACATGTATGAAGTTCTGCTTTGATGTCATTATGTTTTTGTTGCCAGGTTCTCCTTTTTGACCGCTTTCTCAGACAGATGGAATGAAGAGATTGACTACTGCGTGCCATAATACGGTCAAACGCTAATCAAGAACGTCGTTC